AAATCAGCGCGACATCGAGAGTGTTCATTTTTTAATGTGCGTGTTTTAGTGTGTGTTGGGGCTAGACTATAAATACATTTTGTCCTTTGCATTTTGGGATCCATCTTTCATTATTTCATTTTTCCCTTTTTAGAATATGTTTTCTCTCTAGACTAGAAAATCATGTCATTTTCCGGGAGGTTCTCCGGCGACATTGTTTCGAGTAAAGTTTCGAGCTTTTGACTCCGTTTCTCTTCCAAGTGCGTGTAAGAGTAGGTATTTAGTCTTAAGCCCATTACTTCGTATATCTTTATTTGCTCTTTGAGAAAATTGATATTGTGCTTGTGTTGTTTGGAGGAAAAGATTGTTGCTTTAGATCATGAATGCTTGACTAAGTGCGATTAGGAGATGAATGCTTACTCGTCTTGTGCTAGAGTGTGATTCATCTACCTACGGTTTAGCTAGCATGACAATGTTATGTGATTACCATCCCGTTGCGTTTATGACTTGAGATTCCGATGGTTTAGTTTGCGAATTGCTCGTCTTTTGATCTTGCCTTCAATTAATTGCTCGTTTTTAAGTGCTCGTTAGTGTTAATCAACCACCCAATCAATTGCTTAAATGTTTAGGACTTTATTTTCCCCTTTTTGTGATTTGGACGATCATTTAGTAGATAAAGCTCCGAATAGCCTTCCCTCGAGATCGACCCGAGTCGGGTAACTCGGTTATCCTTTGCCCATCATTTCTATACTAAACACGTACCTTCAATCCAAGCTTCTCTCAAGTGCCTTGAGACACAAATGGGGCAACTCGGGACGTCTATCAGTGAAATGAAAAGAAACAACAAAAAGGATCGACTCCCGAGCCAACCCGAGCAAGCTTGGATCGACTCCTACAAAATAAAGTACAAAAGAGAAATCAAAAGCACAAAACACAAACGACACGAAAACACAAAAACGAACAAATGCGGTTAAATGAACCGGGAAAAACCTAGAATAAAATAAAATAAACACAAATAAAACACATAAAAACACATGAAATAACAACAAAAACATACAAAACAATTGAGTTTGGTGATGCTCTGTGAGTAGAGCATGACTTTAAGATTTTCTAGACATATATTGTGATATATAGTATATAATACTAACCACTAGAGCAAGTCGAGTGGACTGATAGCTCTATTGAGGGTTGAACAACATAAAGGCTTAAAGTCTGGAAAAGGTCAATGAGATGAGGACAACAACAGGTTGAGTTAAGACTCTAGGTTAGTCTGACGGAAACTCGACTCGAAATTGAAGAGGTTGATTGACGACCTTAGAGGCGGATATCGACTCAACAAAGACCAGAATAGTTATATATAGAGAGAACTGAGGTATTTTGTTTGGTTATGTTGAGAACTACGACTTAATGAAGTAAAATAGTGTGAAAGCTTTAGATAAGGGATGGTATGAAGACGATTGGATAAGAATAACACATGGATAACAGGATTGCTTGGCAACAAGATTGGGCAGTCCCAGGCACCCGAGCAGTATGTATGATCGATTTGGCAGTCCTGACACTAGGACAACACAATAAGGAAGATCTTGGGCAACAGGGTCATGAATCTATATTTCGGGTGAGGTATTATCATCATTCTCTCTCTGCTATCTGAATATTCTAAATTGTCATATGTAGGACATACATTTATCCCAAATACTAATTTAAGCATCGAAGTTTCTACGCTAGGACAACATTTGGTTGTGTTTTGTATATATGTTTTTTAACGGTTCAAAGAATGTCGGACCGGATCGAAGTTGTTTACACACCATATTACCTAATCTTTTTCCTAAATCTAAATAATAAGTATGATAATTGAATATGGGGAACGATGTGGACAGGTGGTGGTACCACTGCCACACGACAGAAAGAGTACTACCACGTTTTAAAAATTGTTGATGTGCGCGCGAGTGGCTATTCTTCCGACTTCCATCTCAAATTATTGTACTAACAACATTTTTGTTCACTTATTTTTAAAATTTGGACAAAAAATTAAAATTTCTTCGTGTCAATACGTAGGTGGTGTAGCCTATAAAAAGAGGCAGGGCTTTCCTCTGCAATTCACACCCCAATAGCCACATACCAATACATATATCTCTTATCTATCCATCTGTCAAATATCATACAAAAGAGAATGAGGAGCGCTCATCATTTGATCTCCCTCGCCTGCTTCCTCGTTGTCTCGTTGGCTGCTACCCAAGCTCCGCCACGCGCCCCGATCCTTGACACCTCGGGACAAGAGCTGCTCACGGGAGTCCAATACCGCATCCGGTCCCCCAGAAAAAGCTCCGCCACGCGCCCCGATCCTTGACACCTCGGGACAAGAACTGCTCACGGGAGTCCAATACCGCATCCGGTCCCCCTTCTGGGGCGCCGGGGAAGGCGACGTCAACGTGGACCGCAACTCCTCCTGCCCTCTTGACCTCGTCCTGGCCCGAAGAATATTTTTCGGGCCGGGCCTCCCCGTTACCTTCCACCTGCCCCACGAGTCGGTAGCCGGGCGCCCCGTCCGCACCTTGACCGAGGTCAGCATCCAGTTCTCGACCGCCTCCACCGACACAGCGTGCAACGACGGCGGCGTCTGGACGGTCCGCTTCCAAGCGATCCTCCGGGGCTTCGGCGTCACTACGGGGGGTAGCCTGGGGGCCGCGAACAGCCTGTTCACGATTGAGCCGGCCGGGAGAGACCATAGGATCGTGTACTGTCCCAGGATTGACAGCCCCGGCGTGTGTGGGGCCCTGACCACCTCATTTCAACGCCGCCTGAGCGTGGCCCTGTCCGAGGAGGAGGGGTCATTGCATGTAGTGTTCGAGAGAGTTGAAGCTGATGACATCGCCATGATTAAGATGAGTACAGACAATTAATATCAGGCGGGCGATCGCTGAAATAAATTAAACTGAATGGTGGCCAGCATTAGTTTGTCGT